TTCCTCTCGCCCCTGCACTCTGTTTTTCCCCTTCGCTCATCCACCACCTGTCATCTCTCCGGAGAGCCAGGAGAAATGGCTCCCACCTTCCCCCGGAGCCACCCCCACCGGCTCCTTCTCCTGACAGGGGACCCGGAGCCCCATCCTGGGGGGTGGGGGGACACAGGCTGTGCCCCGCTCAGGCCGGGGCCAGCGCCGCAGGGCGAGGGGAGCGACCGGCCGCGCTCTCGCCTCGCCTGTCCGCCGGGAGCCGGGTGATGCTGAGAGCCCCTGTGCTTCTGTTTTCTAGAGCGTGCGGGAGGAGTTCGGCTCTGACACCTGACGTCTCCCCAACTGGGTCCTGCCCCGGCCTCACGGAAGAGCCCGCGGACTCTGTGCACGCGCACGCACAGAGGATATTTATTTATTTAATTTATTTATTTTATATGCATCCTGCCATCTCCCTTACGTTATTGATTGTGAAAGTCGTCACCCGCCCCACGAGTGCTCCAGGGAAAAGGGAAAATTTTGGCATTCCCTTGCAGAGACCGTGTGTGATGAGGAGGAAGAGGAGGAGAACAACCAGGGGCTTGCTGTGATCCAGAGACCTTCTGCTTCAGCGTCGTGCCTGGGTCGGTCCGTCTCCCTATCCTCCGGCCATCCTGCATCTCTGAATCATCTGTCTGTCTGTCCACCCCTCTTCCGAGACGATGATGCTCAATTCGGACCAGACAGAGATCGACCTGCCCCCGACACACTCCGAGTCCGAGTCCGTCTTCAGCGACTGCGGCCGCGCGGGGAGCGCGGAGGACACCGGCAGCGTTGGCTTGTGCGCTCAGTCCCGGGTAGCCGAGCAGGGCGAGACGGTGAAGAAAGACCTACAGCACCTGAGTCGGGAGGAGCGTCGGCGCCGGCGCCGTGCCACGGCCAAGTACCGGACAGCCCACGCCACGCGGGAGCGCATCCGCGTCGAGGCCTTCAACATGGCCTTCGCCGAGCTGCGGAAGCTGCTGCCCACCCTGCCGCCGGACAAGAAGCTCTCCAAGATTGAGATCCTTCGCCTGGCCATCTGCTACATCTCCTACCTGAACCACGTGCTGGATGTCTGAGCCACCCCAGCCTGCGTCCGTCTCTCTGTCTGCCGTGTCTCCTACCTGAACATGTGCTGGGCATCGGAGCCAAGAGCTCAAGTCCGTCTGTCCATCTACGACCTGAACCACATGTCGGGCATCCAAAATGCTGTGCCTGTGTTCGTCCGTCTGTTCAAATGGACCAAGTCCCCAGCTGTCTGCCCTCCCCCCTATCTGAACTGTCTTCTGTATTTCCCCAGCGCCAAGCCCACGTCCGTCTGTCCTTCCATCCTGCCTGACTCAGCCTGGATGTTCAGTCCACCAGCCATCTGTCTGTCCTGCTGGATCTGCTGCCTGAAGCCTGTGCTGGCCGCACGTGCTCCCAACTTCTGTCCGTCTGTCCTTCTGATGCTGCCTACGGGACCCTGAGCCCGCATCCGTCAGTCTGTCCACCACGTCTGCTCCCTGACCCACAGCAGGAGCCACTGAGCTCACGTCTGTCTCCGTGTCACCTCTTTTATACACAAAAAAATGGACCTGTGAAGCACTGCAGCATCAAGCGGCCCCAGGGTCTTGTCCATCTGTCTGTCTGCACCTTCTGCCACCAGCCGCCCCACCAGCACGGCCAGTCTGGGCATTTTCGTCTGTTTGCTGCTGTTCTGCCCCTGGCATCGTGCTGGGCTCTTACAGACCCCCGTCAGGACCATCCTCTCCACCGGGGGACCGCAGCCCAGGAGCATCCCCGGGCACAGAGCAGCTCCTCTGTGTTCGCCCTGGCCTTTTGCACCCTAAAGGGAAGCACAAAGTGTGGTGCAGACCTGGCAGGACCTGGGGAGGACGGCGATAGGTTCCCCTCCAGACAGGGCAGAGAGGCATGCTCTGAAATTCCCTGAAATTCCTCGGAAATTCTGGCTGTGCTGCCTGCCAGGCGGAGCAGCACCCGAGGTCTCTCCATTGCACATCTGGTCTCCCCAAAGCTCAGCACTCTGCTCCCAGACCCCTGCGTCCCCGGCTTTGCTGCCTGACCCTCCTTTGCACTAGTGCACAACGAGTGTGAAGCCCCCCTGGCCCAGCCTGTTGCGCCCCCCCCGGAGCACCAGAGCTCCCCATGCAGCTCTTCATCGCTCCCCACTCTTCCTCCACCTCTGCTTCGCTGCTCCTGATGGAAAAGCCCTGAGCGGTGTCACAAGCGTGGCCCAGCACGGGGGGATGCTGGTGCTCAGCCCCCCCGCACCGCGTCCTTCCCCTGTACCACTGGGTCTCATGGGCAAAGAAGCTTTGCCCTGGGGTTCTGCGGGCCCCCCCCGTTTACACCAGTACAGCACTGGTGCAGCGTGAGCTTTCACAGCAACGCTCTGCCGGGGTAAACTGCAGCGGGGCTGGAGAGGGGAGGGAGCTGGCGCGGCCCCTCTGCCCAGCTTCCAGCAGCCGGGGCCCTCCCCGGCCCCCCCCCCGACATGGATCAGCACTTTGGGAGAGGGGGGGGAGTGGGAAGGGGAAGCAGAGCCAAGCAGCCTTTTCTCCAGCAAGGCCGCGCTGAGCCTGGGGAAAACTCATGGCAGGAGTGAATGTTTTACCTTGGTTTATGGGTGTTTGTTTGTTTTAAGAGTTAATTTTGCACTGGCAGTGGCAAGAGCACAAGCAGAGCCCGGGCGGGGGACCAGGACGGTGCAGAAAGCACCGGCTGTGCTTCGAGCCAACGCTCCGGGCCGGGGGCCCGGCCCGCAGGGAACAGGGTTGGGTCTCGTCGCGAGACAGGCAGTGGGTGCTGGGGGAGACGGACCTGGGGGTGTCGGAGAGGGTCGGTGCCACGGCCTGCGCACACCAGCAAACCCCCAGAGCCGGAGCAGAGGGTCCCAGCAGCGCTTCCAGGCTCCCACCCTCCACTTTTTGCCTTCCCGAGGTGTTGGGCTCTGCCCGTGCCGGGTGTCTGAGCCCCACTTGGGCTTCCCGGGACCTCACAGACCTCCTGGCTCCATCCCGGCCCCCCCCAAGCCTCTGCCGCCAGCTCCCAGCGACGCCTCGCTCCGTACCTCATTTCCCCCCTCCCCGTAAAAGCAGGGAGGACATTCGCTACCTCTGTCTCGCAAGGACTCTCCGGGGCACTTGGGATCCCCGAGGGCCGGAGCAGCAAACCCCGCCGCCCGCTCCCCGGTCACCGCATCGCCCGGCAGACAGAGCAGGGCAGCCCACCCTTCCCCTCCGCTCGCCAGCCACGTCTCTGTGCCACGAGGATATTTATTGAATTAATTTATTGATAAATGTTATTATTTATTTGCTGTGTTGTGCACTTTTGGGAAAGGAAAACTAGATAACGAACGGAAAAAAAAAAAAAA